ATAATATTCAAGAATTCCTTGAGAAGAACATGGTTATCAGCAAAAATCAGCATGGTTTTATGAAGCACAGGTCATGTCAAACTAACTTGATTGCGTTCTACGAAGAAGTAAGTAGAAGTATAGATCAGGGTGTTGCCGTGGATGTGATCTTTTTGGATTTTGCCAAGGCATTTGATACAGTTCCACACAATAGATTAGTGTTCAAACTCAAGGAAATCGGTCTAGATGAAAATGCTTGTTCTTGGGTAGAACATTGGCTTAAAAACAGAGTACAAAGAGTTGTCATTAATGGTAAATTTTCAAGCTGGACAGAGGTGGCAAGTGGTGTCCCTCAGGGGTCTGTTCTGGGACCCCTTCTATTTAACATGTTTATAAATGATCTTGAAGACAGCATTGAAAGTCATGTTTCAGTGTTTGCAGATGACACAAAACTTTGTAAAATAATACAATGTGAGCAAGATATTACTTTGCTGCAGAGGGATTTAGATAGACTGGGAGACTGGGCACTCAAATGGCAGATGAAATTTAATGTTGAAAAATGCAAAGTTATGCACTTCGGCGTAAAGAATACACAAGCAACGTATACCCTTAATGGAAGCGAATTAGGGATAACAACACATGAAAAGGACTTGGGAATTGTTATAGACAACAAACTATGCAACAATGTGCAATGTCAATCAGCAGTGGCCAAGGCCAGTAAGGTATTGTCATGCATGAAAAAGGGCATTCATTCTCGGGACAAGAATATAATTTTGCCTCTTTATAAATCACTGGTAAGACCCCATATTGAATATGCTGTGCAATTTTGGGCACCTGTTCTAAAGAAGGATATTATGGCACTAGAAAAAGTGCAGAGGCGGGCTACAAAATTAATAAAAGGAATGGAACATATCAGCTATGAAGAAAGGTTAACAAATTTAAACCTATTTAGTTTAGAAAAACGTCGCCTGAGAGGGGATATGATAACATTATACAAATATATTCGGGGCCAATACAAACCATTGTGTGGAAATCTATTCACAAACCGGACTTTACATAGGACACGAGGCCATGCGTTTAGACTGGAAGAAAGAAGATTTCGCCTAAGGCAAAGGAAAGGTTTTTTTACTGTAAGAACAATCAGGATGTGGAATTCTCTGCCTGAGGAAGTGGTTTTATCAGAGTCCATACAGATGTTCAAACGGCTACTAGATGCATACTTGCAAGAACAGAATATTCAAGGATATAATCTTTCAATGTAGGGTAATAACTGCTTGATCCAAGGATAAATCTGACTGCCATTCTGGGGTCAAGAAGGAATTTTTTTCCTAGCTTGTTGCAAAATTGTGCTTCAAACTGGGTTTTTTGCCTTCTTTTGGATCAACAGCAAAAAACAAATGTGAGGAAGGCTGAACTTGATGGACGCAAGTCTCTTTTCAGCTATGTAACTATGTAACTATGTAACTATGTAACTAAAACAAAAATTCCCCATTTTGGCTGTAACACAGGCGTTTTACCATCATAATATATCACGGTAATAAATCAAATATATGTACAGAACGTACTGACCCACACATGCAAGTGCTAGACGAAAAGGAACATAAATAAATATGTATAAAAAAAATACAAAAATAATAATTTACAAAAATGGGCAACACAATTCTGACTATAAATAGTCGCTAATCCCAAAGAAACAAACAAAACAGAAAAAAAATTAATAAATAATAAACTCAAAATTTGACTAGCATTTGACAATGTATGTATAACATTTGCAAGGAAGTATGTTTAAAGGCAGATGATTAACAAATCCTACAAAGAAAAATGGACCATTAAAGGGGAAATGGACAACCTGGCCCCAATCTTTAATATTTTATATAGGTAAAGATTGTACCATACAGCAAAAAGGTTTTGTAACGGATCAACTGGCACTCCGACTGGGTACCTCCATTGATGGATGTTCCTAGTGCTTCCCGAGGGCTCCAAGCACTCCAGTTGACACCATAAGCACTGCAGATCCCACCGCTGCCACTAGTTGTAACGGCACCCCGAGTATAGAAGGAGTGAATGCAAAAGATGTTCCCTTTCCCTAATGAGAAGTAAGCTACCGATCACTCCTAAACACAGAACAGGAAAACACACAAATAATCCCCCCAAGTTAGAGACGAGGCTCTGTATTGAGGGTCAAGCAGGATCTGTTTAATGTGAGCTACATGCAGGGATGTATTTACCACAAGGAAAACAAGGCATTTGTCTAGGGCAGCACTTTCAAGGGGGGCGCCTCAAAATGACACCCCAAGCTCCCAGACAAATTACTTGTTTGCCTCATGTTCTGGTGCTGTCCACCATACTGAGAGTGAGTGAGTGAGTGAAGCTGTCAGTGTGTGTCTGTGAGTGAGTAAATGTGTGTGTGTCTTTCAGTGAGAATGGGTGTGCCTGTGAGTGTGTGTCAGTGTGTATGTCATTTTATGTGTATCTGAGAGTGTGTGCCTGTCAGTGAGGGGGTGTGTCAGTGTGTGTCTGTCAGTGAAAGTATGTGTTGGTTAAACAGTGTGTGCCAATGACAGTGTATTTTGTCAGTGAGTGTATATCAGTGTATGTATCAATGAGGGCATGTCTTTTAGTCAAAAAAGTGGGGGGGAGCAAATTTAGATTTTGGGGGTGCCCGAATTAAGTTGTGCCTAGGGCAGCACAAATCCAAAATACACCACTGACTACATGCCAATCTTTTATGCACGTCTTCCACCAAGGGACACTCCCATAGGGACCTTGTGGAAGACTGGGACAAGTTTATACATTAACCAGAAACATATACAGTGATAAACACTCCCACATGAACATTACAAACCCTCCTCTCTATCCTGGAGATAATTGGGTTAAGTGCTAGAAGTAACTCAATTACCTCCAGGGATAGAGCATATCCTCCATTTTATAGTAAGCACAAAAACACATAAAAATATATATTCCCAAAACTACCGAAAAGAATCCCCACATTCAACGTATCCCCAGATAGCTTAGATCTGAGCACACAATATAACCGAATAGCGCTCAGATCTCATACAAAGTGCGTTCATCGAAACGAATGGGCTCCATGGGATGGCTATCTGGGGCTGCCTTGTTCGTATAAAGTCAGTGTACCGAACGGCACGTTGTTCGTATGAATCTGGAACAGAACGAGGAAGGGTCGGCGACTTCAGCGGTGTTCGTATTAAATAGTGTCTGATTTTACTTCCACGGGTTTTTCGACAAACACCACTGGGCATTCAACTGTCCAAGATGGCCGCCGCCACATGTTCATTTATATGAACGACGACTACCCAGCTGACCATTCGGGAGTTGGAAGTGTCTGCAGTTAACTACAATGTTAATGAGGGCAGAAAGGTTAACAAGCAACACACTTCCCTGCTGGGTGGCCTGCCATTCGGTAGTTCTTTCGTATGTAGGGGAATAAAACGTAGGGCCATACGAACAAGTGGCAATTACCGAACAAACAGACGAACCAAGGTAAATCACAGTGATCCAAAGACAGAGAGATCTGTCACAGGTTTATCCTGACATTTACTATATCATAATTTACCTGCCAATTTTAACGGTAAGCAGTGTAAATACAAAAATGTAGGATAATGAAAAGCTGTATTTGCTGAACACATTGTGCAACTAAGCTACTAAAAATTAAATAAAAACTAACATTATGTCGAAAGTAAAATAATAATAAAAAAAGATAAATATATATATATATATATTGTCATAATTAATGTGGCTGCAAATTACATAGAGACTATGTGCAACTACAGGTAGACCCCACCATAACAAGGAAGAGCATCTTCCAATCGGGATCACTGATTCTTGTCTTTGAGATCTCTTCTTATTCCATAAACACAGGTCCAGTTACGAGTCACTCTCAACCGAGAGTGATGGTATGAAGTTAATTTGACAATTACCTTGAAAATTGCCTTGATCATCAAGGTTAGGAGCTGAAATCCCATTTTCAGAAAATTCTTTGCTAACTTTTTGAATGAGGACTTATCACAAAATATTGTTTTGAAGTTAGACATGTGCCCACAAATCATTTGTCTTCTATATAACTAGAACTTACCAAGTACATTACATATTGAATCACATGTGTGAAATATTTATACAATATATCACACATGCAATGCAATAACAATATATGATAGAAAATATAATATTTGCCTATCTGTGTATCCATCTGTATTTTGAGTTGAATTATTGAAAATATTAACGGTTAGGGGTCCTTAATCTAATGCATAATAAATTATATAGAATTATATGAAAATACAATTCAAATATTCAAATTAGTTTGTTTAAATAAACATACACTACAGTCTGTATAACACTTGCTTAGGTCTTCTTTCATATCCATCATTGCAAATATCAGTAGGGATAAAAAGAGTATTGGCAAAAACAAAAATCTCACAGAACCCAGGAGTTCTGCAGGATGACAATGAGATCTTCAGCTGATGGCATAGTGATAGGAGCAGAGGATACATGCTACTGGTGGCATATACATTGATTAATTGGTGACATTCCACTGTGTTCTATTATACCCTGAGAATTCATGCTAGGGTATTAAGTCACCAACTAGCGCCCATACTCTGTACTTGGGGACAAATGCAGGGAATAATTCATTATTGCACAACACATCTCTACTCATAATCCCCCAAGGGGGATTGTGCATGGGGGCCCAACTAAACCAAGTCAACCCTTGTATTATTAGACCTTTACTTTGGGCTAATGTAGAGGTTCTGAAAATCAATGCAGAAGTTATGTGTACATCCTTAATGGAAAATGTAATTGAAGTCCCAAATCGTTGCCGTCACCAGTGACAGAAACTTTTACCATGATTATAATTCAATATATTTAAAACAATTCTGAAAGTGATTACCTTTTCCCCTCTATTTAGTAGTTATAACATAGACAAGGACAAGGTCTGTAGACAACATTTTGTTGTCCTATTTAAGACTTTCAAATTCTACAAAATAAGAAATAAGAACAGCACCTACCAACCACACAAGGGCGCAAGTTCCAGCACTTCTTTTTGGAAGTAGTGTCCCTTTATTCAGGTGCCCGAAGTGTACAACAGCAATGTTTCAACACGTTGGGTACCTGAATAAAGGGACACTACTTGCAAAAGGAAGTCTTGCAATTCATTTTCATACTTTCCTATTCAAATTTTGCAGAACTTCTTTCTTTTTTTTGGATTTGATTTATACTCAAGGGAAAATGGTCTGTTGAAAAGATTTCCTTAAGCATTTTTATATTTCTTAATTATAGTAATTATGTAAGAGGCTATTTTTAAAAAATGAATATCTTTACGAGAGTCACATCTTCATTATTTCAATGCATATTTCCCAGGTAGTTTTAAGCATTTTAGTTCATATCCTTATTCTTCCCTCAAAAATCTCAGTGCTAAAAAAAAAAAATTTAAAAATTTGCTGATTCAATTTCCGTCAGTTCAAACTCTTTGTATGATCCCACTACAACATGAAAATTCCAAAGAAAGTAGTGGTTCCATCCTTAACTCGTACAAGATGTTTTGGGGACATCTTTACATAAATTTCTTCACCTTGGTTTAGAAAAACAATGCCAGCTAAGTAGCTGCTTCCCTTCCAACTGGCTTTCTCATTGATTTCACAAAACCTCCTGCTGTTTTCCAGAAGCACTTCTTCATGTTCAGAGTTTGAAGATTTTTTGGACACCCAGTGAGAATAAAAGGCAGATGTGTCGGTTATTGTGCTGCATTCCCGAGATCCAAGCTGAAGCTTTGAGTACACATAGTAATGCCCGGATTTTATGCAAAGTAGTGAGCCATTTTTGTATCCCACTTGGTAGTGAAATGATAAACCTTGGCTAGGCTCCCAATGAAGAAGACTTTCTGAGGTCAGATCTTTAGTTCCTATATAAGGATGAGTAGAAGATCAGGTATATGTCATTTTGTACACTTGTATTATTGAGTAAACAACTTATACTTCAGACTACTACTTATCACATGGTCATTAGAGTAGAAATTAGTGGGTGTTGACACTGGGTGACAGGGGGTACATAAGTGGGTGAAAGGACACATATACAAGGGTAATTAGGACAGGGAGAGGTATAGGTGGATAAGGATATACACAAAAAGGGGGTGATGGAATAAGGAGAGACACACAATTGTGTTGTTGAGAGACACGCAAGCCAGAAAGAAAGGAGAAAATCAGTAGGTGGGGTGGTACCACTGAGGTGAGAATCACGTTCCCACTGTACTCATGATATGTCCATGTTATGTGAGTAAATTTCAATTGCTTTAGATAAGATAAATGGTCATTGTATGTAGTTTTATAATGTTTGTATGGAGTGGACTGTATTGTGTGCTTAACCTTGTTAGTGATAAAATCAAGCACATTATTAGCCATACATACCTGTAATATGTGCTGATGGTACAACCTGTGGTTTAACTAAAAAAAAAAAAGCAAGACAATGATATGATTTAGAGAAACGTAGGAGTTATCCATCTCATTGATGCATAGGTTAATACTGATTAGTACAAAGTGACAAAGTATATTTAACTAATGATTAAAAAGGAGTCAAATGTTCTTATTAGATAAACAATTAAATTGCACTTTTATTTTCCTGCATTTTATGTAATGTATATAAGGCTAATTATCTCCAAGACTCGAAAGTGGTTTCATTTTTCCCTATCCCCTTTTTGTATATGTTTATGATTTTTTTTTTAAGTTGGAGTTATGTCTAGGCTAGAATTATCTTGATCTTTGCAAGATTATGAGCCTCTGCACTGCACAGTGTCCGTTACACCACTTATTATGGTCTTAAAAAGGTTATAAAATTTAGCAATTTATATTTCATCACACTCTCCCTACTATTCAAAGGTAAAATACGCTTTCTAAAATATACAGTCATAGAAAAGCACCGTAAAAATTACAAAGAGGAAATACAAGTGGGTCAGAGATGATATAGATGTGGTATGTCCGTTTTCATAGTTTCCTGAGATGCTTTACACTCAATACTTGTTCTCTACATGTTTTTTTAATGTACATTACTAAAATCCTGTCTACAGATGTACAGAATAGACGTCAATGTTTATCAGTTTAATGGTTGGCGTATCACCAAGGCAAGTCAGCGAATGAGTTGGGTCTGACAATATGTGTGCACGATGTATGCTATTTAGTAGCACATTTCGATGGCTTATTAAAGGAACACTATAGTCCCACAGGTTTTAACCCTTCAGATGCAAACATAGCAGTTTCAGAGAAACTGCTATGTTTACATTTGGGGTTAAGCCAGCCTCTAGTGGCTGTCTTCCAGACAGCCACTAGAGGCGCATCTGCCACGCTGGAGGCATATTATGCCTCCATCGCGCATGCGCATTCGGCTCCGCTGACGTCGGCAGAGAGAGCTGACGTCGGCGGGGGAGGAGAGGTCACCAGCGCCAAGGGAGCCCAGTGCTGGAATAAGGTAAGCTGCTGAATGGGTTTTAACCCCTTCAGTGCCACGGGAGGGGGACCTGGGGGCACCCTCAGTGCACTATAGTGCCTTGTTTTCCTGACACTATAGTGATCCTTTAATGATTTCCACAATATGTTTGTCCTGATGTAAATGCTGTACTGGCAGCCACACAATACAATGTTGCTCTTTTGCAAACTACTAACATGCAAAGGACAAGAATGATTCCAGGATAAATCCAAACAGCTTCTCCACCCAAACAATGGATGGTAGGTGGGTCCTCTGGGCCCAAGATTAAAAGAGCAATTTAAAGCACCCAAATCACTTCATCACCCTGACATTTTTGTCCTGTAATATAAAACAATGCCCTTTGACAGGTAGATTAATGTTTACATTGTCATCCTGACAGACTTGGTCTTTGATATTTGGCATCCTCATGCATTGTGTGCGTATATTGAACCTTCCTTTGATGCTTATGGGAAGCATAGGATACAATGTTCCTTTAGGAGAAGCATTTGATTGGTGGAGCACAGCGCTTGCAGTGAGTCTTGGTGCTGGAAAAAAGGTAAGTAAAACTATTTTTCGTTTGTATTCCTAACGCTATAGTGTTCCTTCAATAGGGGGGACTTAAGAAGTACCCTTTTCTTCCTTTACTCCATTTGCATAGGATGAAGAGCATTCACAATCAGAAAACCGAGGGCTTGCCTTCGTAGAGTATGTCCACCACAGTGCGACTCTAAAGATTAATGCCGATGTCGCACAGACTTCATATACTGTATGTTTTATTTAATTAATATATCTTGCTCTTCCAGCCTTGTGCTGCTCTCCACTATGACACTATTAAGTGGGAAGGTCTGAATGTAGATGATCAATTGGATTTCCATAAGAAAATAAGGTAACTGGTAAAATTCTTACAGAGAGTCCACTACGCCATTTAGTGAATGGAAATTATGGTTCTCTGAGGAATTGTTTTTCTCAGACCAGTGTATGTTTTTATATAGGATAAATCAGAAAGGCAGTATTAGGAGAGCCATGTAATTGGATTAAATTGGCAGTGCCACGTAAGAATTGTAAGGTCAACATTTAAATATGGAGCAATACAACACGTATCTGAGCAGGAAGCTCTCGTAGCTTTCCATTAATTCCATTCTGTTTATTATATAATGTTTATTTAGTTATAATTATTATGTACTATCTTGTTATCCACATAGCTAATGAATGTTCCTTACAGATCAATCTACTCAAAATGTAATCCCATAACACATAGCTTGGTCTACATGTATCACTTGGTACAAGTATAACTTGTAATGCTGTGAAATAACATCTGACCATGACGTAAGCTGCCTTAGATAATGAGTTATTCCTTATCTGAATTGATAGCCGAAACTGCAAAAATATATTTAAAAAAAAAACATAACATTTTGTTCAAATACCTGGCTTCTTATTCATTATCTGTGCATCAAATTTCATTTCGACCTGTGGATCATAAAAAGATCGTAGTAAATGTATAAATGTATCTTTCTATTATTACAAAGAGTAAGTTACATGTATTAGTGGAACATGGTAAGACATAGTGGTATAGAATGGATACACCTATGGAGAATGCCTCCCTGACCCTATAGAGAGAGGTATATTCAAGAGGAATTAACTTAGTGCACCACACATTAGTACTTTACATCACTTATTTTTAACCTGAAGCAGACACGCGTTATCCATATGCCAAAGGGCCAGCTAACCATGATACAGGAGAGAACCACACCACTTGGAATCTATGTTATCCATCATAGAGTGGCACAGCAAAACCATGGAAGAGCTATGCCACATGGAATATATCCATCATAGGATGACACCGTTATAATAAGAGGGGAGAGCTACGCCATGTGCAATTTATCCGTCATAGGGTGACACCATTATAATAAGAGGGGAGAGCAACGCCATGTGTAATCTATCCATCATAGGGTGACACCATTATAATATGAGGGGAGAGCTACGCCATGTGTAATCTATCTGTCATAGGGTGACACTGTTATAATAAAAGAGGAGAGCTACGCCATGTGTAATCTATCCAGTTATAATAAGAGGGGAGAGCTACGCCATGTGTAATCTATCCAGTTATAGTAAGAGGGGAGAGCTACGCCATGTGTAATCTATCCAGTTATAATAAGAGGGGAGAGCTACGCCATGTGTAATCTATCCAGTTATAATAAGAGGGGAGAGCTATGCCGTGTGTAATCTATCCAGTTATAATAAGAGGGGAGGGCTATGCCATGTAATCTATCCATCAAAGGGTGACACCATTATAATAAGAGGGGAGAGCTATGCCATGTGTAATCTATCCAGTTATAATAAGAGGGGAGAGCTACGCCATGTGTAATCTATCCAGTTATAATAAGAGGGGAGAGCTACGCCATGTGTAATCTATCCAGTTATAATAAGAGGGGAGAGCTACGCCATGTGTAATCTATCCAGTTATAATAAGAGGGGAGAGCTACGCCATGTGTAATCTATCCAGTTATAATAAGAGGGGAGAGCTACGCCATGTGTAATCTATCCAGTTATAATAAGAGGGGAGAGCTACGCCATGTGTAATCTATCCAGTTATAATAAGAGGGGAGAGCTATGCCATGTGTAATCTATCCAGTTATAATAAGAGGGGAGAGCTATGCCATGTGTAATCTATCCAGTTATAATAAGAGGGGAGAGCTATGCCATGTGTAATCTATCCAGTTATAATAAGAGGGGAGAGCTACGCCATGTGTAATCTATCCAGTTATAATAAGAGGGGAGAG